CAGAACTGGTTCTACCTAGACCAAAACCATTGACAGCCCTGAAATCACTACGAACAAACAAGTTCAGCTACTACTGAAAGGTTATCAAAAATATTTGTAGGTCTCTTAATTTAATTAAAAGTACAGAAAAGTACACTATACCACACTGCAGAATTCTAAAATTTCACTGCAGCCTTACACAATTTGAAATAATAAATACACCCACCCTAAAACACCACTACCTGCCCGTATCAATTCCGAGCTGGCATCTACCCCAACTGTACTGTGGGGTAAAAAATTGTTAGGATGTATTGAACAATCATTCTCCCTTAAAGTATTCATAGTCCCTTTCTTAAAACTTTGCATGCAGTTGTCTTCTTAATAAAAGAAGGGAAAAATTAGCAAAGGATATTAAGAGATCCGCAAGAGAAGACCTCAGAGTGACTACTTGAGCTAATACACCTGAGAGTGAAGCAAAAGGCCAACTAAGAACCAATTGGTTGTTGGGCCCATCCGAACCTATTGTTATTTATAAACAAAACATGTAAGAAGTTTATGACGCTTCTAGAGTAAGAAATACAGGATTAGTTCCAAAGAAGATAAACCAGAGAAAAGATAAATGAGAGAGAGCTGAGGTCTCCAACAGAAGTTAAGCAATGTCCTCAACTCTCGTATCTTTGCCAAGGGATGGTGGACTTCAATTTTTATGTCTCTCAAATTGTAAGAAACTGGAATACTTGCACCAGCTGGGTTTAATTTCTCACTGTCACTGGTTTACTAAAAGTCTATCATCTAGTACAACGTCATATCTCTTCATGATTTGAAGATTGAATCATGTAATATAATTTTGTACATATTTCAGGGACAGGACTATCATTAAGTTTGAACACGTTGAGTCAAATATTGCAAGACTATAAACATCCTACCTGAGATACAACTGTACGACCACCCACCTCTTCAATATATATTTGATTATGGGTTAAGTACACTGCAACCCAATGTCTGAATGGGGGCTGGATTCATCTCCTGTACGGCAGAGCTAAAAAATTCTGAGTCATTCTCCTTTGATTATTGTGTGGTGTGGTCATTGTAAATTCATCCCAAGATGTGGTTCCCAAACTTCAATTAAGCCATTCGGGTCAAATATTGCCAAAGCTCAAATCCCTATCTAGTCCATGAAAGGAAGGAACCATCAACTATGCTCTTCACTTTGGTACTTCTTCTCCCACCTCCATCGCTGGGTTTTCTGCTGGGCTAGGTGTTCCACTAAAGGCTATGTAGTTTATCTTGGCTCCATTCTTGTTTCTTGGTGTACTAACAATCAAGCCACAATCACTTGTTTTAGCACTGAGGCTGAATTTCGGGCTCTTGCTGAAGTTATTATTGAAATTGTTTGGTTGTGGTCTCTCCTCTCTAATTTAGGTGTTTATCTCTCCTCTTCCCCTCTTTTTGGTGTGATAACATCAGTGTCATTCAGCTCGCTGTCAATCCCATCTATCATGCTCTTACAAAGCATGTCAAGGTTGATTTTCACTTCATTCATGTAGAATAGTTTGTAGTCTGTTCAACCTCCAACGCATAAGCTTCTCTGATCAGATCCACTCATTTTTACTTGCTTGGATCTGAACTTAATGTCTTTTCACACCCATTAAGTTTGAAGGGGCGTATTGGCGAGTTGAGACAAGAATCCCAATTTGACTCTAAGGGCTTATTCGTTTCCTCTTAACTCTTATTTCTTAAGAGGAATCTTTTAACTTTAAAGAGAAAAATGGTTGTTCGTTTCCTCTTATTTCTTATTTCTTAAAGTGCATACAACTTTTTGTTTTTTAATAATACCCCCAAAAAGACAAACAAAAACTCTCATATATGGGGTCAAAATAGATATTTGATCATTTTCAAAATTCAGAATTCATAACAACATTCTCTGCATTCAAAGTTCAGAGGAAAGAAAAGTTCACCAATACCAATATACCTCTTAATGTAATTATTGTACTTTCAGATATATAAGACTTCAGAACAAACGAACAAGCCCTAAGTTAAAACAAATAGATTATTTTCTAGACTCTAGTCAGTTTCCTAGTTATATATATTAGACCATGTTTTCAAAACCGGACCAGACCGGATGATCAGACCCAAAAACTAGGAATCGGTCAGGTAACCGGTTTGGTTTTACCCTGAAACCATTATTTACCCAAAAACCGTTGAGACCGAAAAATTGGGAACCGGTCAGGTAACCGGTTTCATTTTACCCCAGAACCGTTATTTCCCCAAAAACCGTTGATTTTGTCAACAAACCACTAACCTGGGTGATCGAAACGTTCAACGGTTTGGCTGGTTTTTATTTATTTTTTATTTTTTTATCAAAACGGGCCATCCGTTTGGGTCGAACGATCGGACTGTTCAACCCAGGACCAGACCCCTGACCAGTTAATTGTCCAGTTCAGTTTTAAAAACCTTGTATTAGACCTATCTTTTGTCATTTGTTTTGGACTCAAATTCTTCTAACTCTATATATTCGATCATGATCAATAGACAAAGCATGGACTTCTTCTCGTTGTTCTCCATATAAGGTTTACCCAATGATTTAGAAAACTTAGCTTCTCTCCAGCACTTAGAAATCAAAGATTGCTCAAGTCCACATTTCAGAAGCTAGGGACATGTTTGGTTCGATGTCTTAGGTCGCATTCTTTTAATTCTTGCTCATTCTCGACAAGAATGGGCAAAATTGATAACATTAGAGTATTTGGTTACAAAATTCTTGACATAAATATCACTCTTTTTAGAATGAAAAATCAGCCCATAGCATAAAAATTGAGGTTGTCTGCAGCATGAAAAGTAACTATGCCCCATCTTACTCATTTTCATTCTTTGAGAAACCCTATGCCTACAAAACTACCGACTTAGATGTTTGCTAGTAGACTACCATGGAAACTTACCTTGGCGGACATTGACTGCTGGCCATTCATCGGTAAGCATCTAAGCCAACATTTTTGGAGACTTAGGCTGGTGGTATATGATCGTCAGCATAGAGTTTTTATTTCTTGTTTTTTTTTTTTTTGAAGAATGAAAATAAACTATATAGGGAACTTATCGATCTGAAAAGAATTCACTTCTAGGAAAAAAATGTTTGGTTTATACTTTATAGCAATATTTTCTCATTCTACCCATTTTTGTCCATTTTAGAATTTCATCTTGGTTAAGAATGAGAAAGATTGAAAATTCAACCAAACAGGGCCTAGAGCTCCGCCGGCCACCATCGCCCTAAGCTCAATTTGATCTCCAAATGTGAAAATCTCAAATTTCCGTCAAATCACATGCAATGTTTGGTCAATCAATTCAAGAGCTGCAAATCTAGGATTGTTCTAAACTCACTTCATTTTCAGAGGGCTCCCAACATTCTACAATCACTTTCCATAAGTACCGCGGGAATCTTGCATCCCTATCCAACCATTTGCACAAGTTGGTATGCCTTCAAGAACTAGAAATCTAGGACTGTCTAAAACTCATTGCATTCTATCCCCAGCAATGATTTCCATCAAGGATTTCCAGAATATTGACCTCTTGGAAAAACTTGACCTAACAATTGCAGGACTTGTTGTTTCTTTCTCCTCTTTTGGACTTCCTGCAGCTGCCTACTACCCTTATTACGTCTCTTTGCCTTAAAACGGTGCTACAAGCTGATATCCTTTTGCAATTGGTTGACAAATCTTACATTGCTTGAAAATTTAGAAATCATGCGTAAATTCATCGTTTTGAGAGGTAAAGCAGGCTTTCTCATCTAGAAATACAGGGTTGTCCCTTGTTCAACGATTGGTAACTAATAGGAAAGCTTGGTCCAAGTCTCCAAGATGGAGATTCCTTGCATAAAGGTAGATTAATGGCATGGTATTCTAAAGAAAGATAAAATGAGAGATTAGTCGAATTCTTATTCATAATGAAAAGCAGAAAAGGCCCATCATTCAGGCACTTATTCCATGGCATTCACTTTTATCTGATTTCTACCACCTGGTTGAATATGTATGTATTACATTTTCTCTACTATTTTCGATGTACATGGAGTCATGGAGGATACTCTTAGTAACAAGCAACTTTCCTGCTTGACAAACTCAGAAGTCGGAACATAAACTTGTAAGGGATGCCAAATTTTGTTACTATCTTCGGTTTTCTGTATTCTTTCAGTTCGAATTGTCATATGAAAGTACATTAGCTAAAAATCCATACTGAGCACTTATCAACTTGTCAGTTGTCATAAAAGTGTTTTACAGTTCTGCATATTTAAGTACTTCACTAGTGTTTTTCTTTTTTTTTTTTTTCTTGCTTTTAAGGCCATGGCAATTAACTTGTGTTTTTAGCTCTCGGTGTCTCCAACTTTGTTTTTAGCTTTGTAACATTAGTTCGTAATGCAGCATTTATATATTTACTTCATCCTCGATATTCAACCACATCACCATTTTCAGGTTTTGGATAGAATTGTAGAATTAAATCATCACAGAAGGAAATTTCTAAACTGTAATGTAAGGTGAAGGTCATGTTTGTAAAAATCCATTTTCTTGACCATCAGCGAGTTTGGGCTTTGGACAGTCATGGAAGACACGTTGAAGAGAGACAGAAACATTGCTTGGAATTTGGGAATTCATATAGTGTGATACTTGTACGAGTGATGGTATGGACTATATTCAGATGTTACCGAGTCCGAGTCCTCTATAGGCTTCACCATTAATCCTTCAAAACCGCCGTTGCTCCGCTTTCTTCAGGGGAGCAAGCTGAGCCATGAATCGATTTGGGACAATAACAGACCGTTATAGTTTCATCATGTATCACCACCCCCACTCCCCCTCTAGAGAACCTCATGGGCATCATCATGAACCAACCTCAAATGACAACATATATCGAATTTTCATTTAGGAATATCCAATTTGATCGGTTTGAAGACCTAACCAGTAGCCACAAGGGATGAGCATAAGAGTAAAACATTTAAACACCTAGCGTCCAAGAATAAATCAAGTCCCAACAGGCAGATGTAACCAAAATGAAGAAAATTAGCATCTGAGCACTGAATCCAGGCAATTTACCAGTATCTGTAACAAATTCTAAGTATTTAATTTAACTCAGCATTAGATTTTCCATTTTACATATTTCAAGGGAACAGCACGGCATCCAGACACCATATGTTTTAAAGAAGAGGAATACAAAGAAAAATTAAGAAATGGGTTAAGACAGGCTTTAGACAAAAAACTACAAGCTAGTCCCGCATTAAAAAAAAATGCCACAACCAAGTGCTTAAGTATCAACCGAAATCTTTCATCACGATTCTAAATTCCAACCCCACAACCACAAACCAAATGGCACCTTAGCACTGTCTCAGTACCTCCTCCTAGGACTCCTTGAACGGTGTCCACGCGGTGATCTGCAAACAAGAGCAGAGAATGATGATTACCAAACAAGAGCAGAAAGGAAACGACAATGACATGATTCTCAGTAGGCAACCTAGCATGGGACTCGAAATGAAAATAAATTATCCCATCTGAATAAAGAACAGTTCTAGCAATCGTGGGCCTTGCATGTCTCAGAGCCCTTAAATCATAGAATAGGAAAACGTAAACATGGTTGATACATCTTGTCCTTGTGCGATTAACTATTCATTTGAATGCAATTCTAGCAATCAGGGCCGTACATCACAGAGCCCTTAAAACCGTAAGACAACAAAATGTAAACTCGGTTGTTACATCTTGTACTTTTGTGATTCTAAATTCCAACCCCATAACCACAAACAAAATGGAAGCTGGCAGTAACATGCCCAAAATCAGAAGTCAATCACTTTAGGAGAATTTTAACTAACCTCCTCCTCATGTTCCTCTTTCTGTAAGGTCCATTACTGAAGGCCCAATCGACAGAGACAATCTGAGTGAGAAGCTCAGTTCCATTCATTGCAGATATTGCAGCCTGAGCTTCCTCAAAATTCTCATATTCAATTAATGCATATCCCTGAAGATCAAAAAATTCCACATCTGTCAATTAAAAGAGGAAGCCTGCAAGAGAAATTAGTAGACAAAGAATGGATCGTAGCAAGCCAATGTAATATGATAATCCTCGAACTAATAATATGCAACAGTTTGTTATTTTGTCCTCAATCAATAGATTCAATCCAATAAAACAGAAAGTTGACTATGATTAGAATTTATGGCCAGAATAGAAGGTCGGTTGCTAGTACCTATCAGCAAAAGATAAGATGGATCATGTCTCCCTAAAAGAATTCAGCATACTGAAATGTACAAAACACAAAAAATTGGACAATGTATGAAATAACAGCTATTACCAAGGTTCAAAGTATCGGAAACACATGTATCAGAAAGAATTTTAAGAAACGTAACGCTTGGGATATGCATAGATACAGATGAAAAACCAAGATACGCATGAATACGCTATGAAACTCAAATAAATCCTAAAAAATATATTAATAACAATACGCACAAGGTATATATGACCATAAATTATTTAAACATAAAAACCTTACTTTAATGGTTTACATGAAGTGTGAGAGATCAGGACACAATCGGTAACTGCTGAAAATGACAGAAAAACTAAAATGTCTACATATATACCTTTCCTTGATTTTCAGATAATCAAAATAATTTGTCTTAAAAGAAATTAATTAGAAGGATTAGCAACAAAAAAAAAGACTAATGAGAGAGGGAGTAACTTTTTTATCAATAACAATTTCATGAGAGAGGGAGAGTAATTAATTTGTGATGTATGGCTGATGCATTAGAGTATTGGCTCGTATCGGGTTTGTATCGACCAATGCAGACCTGAAACGGTCCGATATGGGGCCATATCAGCCCAATACAGATTAAACGAAACACAACTGGTTTCTATACATTCCATGTATCAGGCCTTTAATGGAACGATACATATCAGCCAATATGAACCAATACATTGCAAAAATTTGAACCTTGGCTATTACATTATGCCAAGGATTGGAATATCACAACATATCGGGGCATATCGACCGATAAGTATCATATTAGTAACCCTCTAATGCACCGCTATACTTGGTGTTTCGAGGTCCCACCTATTTCAAGGGTAGACAGGCCTTAAACTGACCACCCTGAACCAGTTCAAAAGAAAAAAACAGAAGAGGAAAAAAATAAAGTTGGCCTTCAATACAGGCCGATAAGCCTATCGATATTTTGAACCTTGCATTATGCATTACAATATATGCCAATATGTATGATCACAAATCATCAAAGCAACCAATATTACCATCTCTCGCCACCATCAGCATCCTCTATTAACCATCAGAATCACCCTTTTTACATCTTCAACCAATGTAATTCACTATCATAGGTCCATAATACTTGCACAGCAAGAACTTGCTCATTTCTTTATTTTAGCTTCAGCAAATCAGCATCCCTAATTTTAGGACCATAGTGGCACTGTTTACAATCCTGCAACAGCCCCAATTACTAGTTCCAGTATTTCCCTTCAAGAATCACTTGATTGGCAATTGCTATCTAAGGGGATGCTTATCCCATCTTCAGGTTGTGTCTTCTGCCAATGCCAACTCGAGTCGGCAGACCACCTCTTCCTCCAAGGACTCTCCTTGAGACTATCATGCAGACCTGTCAGAGGCCTTAAGAGGAAGGGTAAGATTGCTGGTTTTCAATCACCTTGGCAGTAATTGGACAGTGTGAGCCAGCAAGCCTATGGAAAGTTCGAGGACGAGACTCGCATTCCTATTCCAACTTCGCCTCACCTGAGCATTCCCAACTTTGTCTCACAGTATTTCAGATTTGAATGGAGTGCCTTTCCAACCGAGTGTCAACCCAAAACATCAAGAAAACTTGGAAAGTGGCCCTCACAGTTCGGACAGCCATAGAAGGGATGTGCAATTGGAAGAAGGTACAATCAATATGGCTAGGAATTTGGGGATAAGTGGAGAAAAGGAAACATCTGACAGTCAGAGACAAAAAATAATGGGAGTTGTGGAAATTGGAAAAATAACTTGGGGAAAAGAGGAAAGAACTCTAAAAGGGAATTAAAGAGACTTCAATGAGAAATGAAGGATCAGAAGATAACCGGTCCTAGGGCAGCAAATAAGGCAAAATCAGTAATCGGAGCACAATGAAGTTGTTAAACTGAGATGTCAGGTGTCTAGGAGGCCAGCTCAAGAGAAGTCTAGTAATATGCATTAAGAAGACAAAGGCCAAATATAGTCATCTCACAAGAAACAAAAATAGTAGACAGAAAATTGCTGAGAGCAATTTGGGGAATTCGTTGAAAAAAATGGGCTGTTCTCCCTGCTCTAGGCACCTCAAGGGGGGATTATCCTAGCTTGTAATGAAGAATAGGTATCTGGCATCAAAATAGACAAAGGAGAGTTTTCAATTTCCGTGCTATTTACCAACAAAAATGAGGGATTCAGCTGGATTCTGAATGGAGTCTATGGCCCAAACACTCGTTCAGACAGGCAAAAATTCTGGGAAGAGCTGGATTCTTTGCATGAGTACGATGATTTTCCTTGGTGTTTAGGGGGTGACTTTAATGTCACAAGATTCTCCCAAGAAAATTCCAACAAAAGATCAGTGGCCAGAAGAATGAAGGATTCTCTAGATTCATTTCTAGACATAACCTTTGTGATCTCCCTCAACTTGGTCAAATTTACAAGAGAACTTAATAACCTGCATACTTGACGGGTTTCTGGTAGAGCACTTTCTAGATCTTATTCAAGAAACCAGACCTCGCTGTACTTCAGACGCCATTAGTCTTGGGTACGGACTTGGTTGTGAAAGGGAAATCCCCATTTAGATTAGAAAAGGTGTGGACCCTACATAAGAATTTTCACAAGAAAGTGGCTTCTTGGTGGGAGGAATGCAGTGTAGAAGGCGGGGCTGGTTACAGATTTTCCCAGAAGTTGAAATATCTAACAAGAAAACTAAGATCCCAGGGCAGAGAAGAGATCAAATCTTTTACAAAGGAAACAAGTGTTATCTTCCTGGAGCTGGAAACCAAGATGAAAAGGAGCAATTAGGCACCCTGGATGAAGAAGGAAGAAGGAGAAGAGATGTATTGAGAAGCTCCAGGGAAAAGGTGAAGAAATATTTTGGAGGCAGAGTCAAGGGTTAGATGGTTAAAGGAAGGTGATAATAACTCAAAAGTTTTCCACAGTTATGCTTCGGGCAGATGGAGGAAAAACTTTATCTCAAAAATAAAGGTGGATCAAACGGAGGTGGAGGACGCAGATGAAATAATAGAGGCTTTTTTGAACCACTTCAAAGAGCTCTACTCTAAGGAAAGTATTTGAAAGTTTACTTTAAGAAGTTGGGATGGGCCGGCTCTAGCATAAGAAAAGAGGTCTTGGCTTAAAAGGGATTCTGAGGAGCAAGAATTAAGGGAAGCAGTCTTTGACATAGATGGAAACAGAGCCCCTGGGCCTGATGGTTTCCCCTCATTTTTCTTTCAGAACTGTTGGAATGTGATACAACATGATCTTTTGGAGGTATTCAAGGACTTCCACTCCTCGGCTGTTGTAAACAAAGGAAACAATTCTACTTTTATTTGTCTCATCCCAAAGAAAGGAGGTGTTTTGGAAGTGAAAGACTTAAGGCCAATAAGTTTAGTAGGGAGTGTGTACAAAATTCTGGCTAAAGTGTTGGGAAAAAGACTTAGAGCCCCAAGAGATCTAGTTTCTCCTAAGCAGTTTGCCTTTGTGGAAGGCAGTCAAATTGTGTACAGCATCTTAATAGGAAACAATATGTTGAAGAAAGAAGAGTGGTAGGTCAGGTCTCCTTGTCAAACTAGATCTAGAGAAGGCATACGACAAAGTAGATTGGGACTACCTCCAAGTTCTGAAACTGAGGGGTTTTAGCACAAAATGGTTGCAGTGAATGAAAGGCTGCATTAGTTCAACCTGGTTCACAGTCCTTTTGAATGGAGAGCACAAAGGTTACTTTAAAGCAAGTAGAGGACTTTGACAGGACTGCCCTCTCTCCCCTTTCCTCCTCACCTTGGTGATGGATGTTTTCAGTCAGCTTGTGGAAAAGGCCAAAGGCTTTGAGGTAGGCTGAGATGCTCTCAATGTTTCCCATCTCCAATTCGCAGATGATATTATTATGTTTCTGGAGGCTAATTTGGAAAACATCACTAATGTGAAAAGGGTTTTAAATTGCTTTGAATTAGTTACAGACTTGAGGGTTACTTACTCAAAAAGTAGTCATAATGACTTTTAACTCAGACGAAGAAGCTCTCTCAGAAAGTTTCGCCTTTTAAGTCAATTCTGAACTGCCGAGTGGAAAACCTCCCCCTTTCTTATTTGGGGTTGCCTCCTGATAGAAACCCAAAAAGTCCAAGCTTCCAGAGTGGTGGAAAAATGTGAAAAGAAGTTAGCTTCTTGGAAACACTGCTATCTCTCAAAAGGGGGGTAGACTTACTCTTATTAAGGCTTCCCTTGCAACTCTGCCTATCTGCCAAAATTAGATTACAGCTTGAGAAACTTCAAAAAGACTTCCTCTGGAAAGGTGGAGGTGAGAAAAAAAGCCATCTAGTGAATTGGGTTCGGGTTTGTAAGTCTAAAGAGGCTGGAGGGTTGGAGATTGGCCACCTAAAAGAGAAGAACAATTCTCTCCTTGGAAAAAGGCTGTGGAGATTCCCTACTGAAACAAATTCTCTTTGGGCAGCTGTTATCACTAGCAAGTATGAGTTGAACGCAAACAGTTGGGATTGCAATCCTCATTCAAACCAACTAGCTTCCGCAAACCCATGGAAAGGTATCATTTCTACTTATAACAGTTTTATCCCTTTCATAAAGCTTAGAGTGGGTAATGGCGCACTAGAATAAAGTTCTGGACAGACCTACGGTGGGGCAATTCTACCCTAGAAAATTCTTACCCTAAATTCTTTAACCTCTCCCTCAACAAAGAAGCAACCATCTCCCAGTGCCTTCCCTCTTCTCCGATCAAGAGAAATATAAACTTGAGCCTTAGAAGACCCTTAAGGGATTCGGAGATCAATGAGTTAACTGACCTCCTCCTTTCTCTCAGAGAGGCCTACATTTCCCCAAACTCCCTAGGCTCCCGTGTTTGGAAACCCCACCCTGCTGGCAAGTTCTCTTCCAAGTCTTTTTCAAGGCTCTGGTTGCAGAAGAGCAAAACTGTGTTTTTCCTTTCAAGAAGGTCTGGTGCAACTTCGTCCCCTCAAGAGTGTGCTTCTTCATATGGGCGGCTTGTCTGCATTGAATAAACACCTGCAATTTGCTGCAAAAGAAAAATCTTGGCAGACTTTATATCTCTCCCCATGTCTGCATCCTCTGCTTCCGAGAAGGAGAGTCAGCCAACCACTTGTTCATCCATTGCCAGGAAACCAGGTACATTTGGAACTACTTCTTGCAGCTAGCCGGGTACAGCTGGGTTGCTCCAAATCACCTCAGGACTTGCTATTTCAGTGGCAAGGAAAAGGACTGAGTAGGAGAGGCAAGGTGTACTGGCAAATAGTGATGCATGCTGTGCTTTGGGGAATTTGGGAGGAAAGAGATTAGGCCAAATCCAAGAGTGAGTTGATCTCTCACATCAACTATCATTTTAATTTGTGGATTTCCAGCTCAGATGTGTTCAGAGGAATCAATGTTAACAATCTAAACAGGAATGCAGTTAACTTCTTGTTCTCCTCCCCATCCCCCCCACCCATCTCCAGGGGTGCATTTCTCAAAAGGGAAGGAGCCGGAACTCTAAGTTTTGATGGAAGTGCTTTAGGTAACCCTGGTGTTGCTGGCATTGGAGGTGCTTTAAGAGATGAAAATGGGAACATCTGCTGGGTGTACTGTGACAGAGTTCCTCCTGTGTAAATGCCATTGCAGATGGATTAACAAAGCTAGGTGCTATTTCAGAGACCTTGTACTGTGACAGAGTTCCTCCTGTGTAATCTTTAGGGGTCTGATCCCTGTTTTGCATTTGTACACCTCCTTGTGTAACCTCTTTTTCTTTAATGAATTCAGTTAACATTTCTCAAAAAAAGAACAACAAAAAGGACAGTTTGGAAGGAAATATAATATGAGGATCTTCAACACCAGCTCCACTAAAGAGGAGGAGCTACTGAAGACAGTGGTGCCAGGTATCTCTTGGTTATTGGTGCTGATCATTTCAATTAATATGGTCAAAGAACGTGCTTCAAGAGATTGGGTGTTTGCTAACAACTTCAACTCCTATGTTACCAATCAAAACAAAAAGAAAAAGGGGAAAAACTTCAACTCCCATGAAGTTATTCTTTGATAACTAGTCTGCAATCCACATTGTGTCAATCCAATGTTCCATGAAATAACAAAAGACATTAAAGGACTTTGTAAGAGAGGAAGTTCTCAGTGAAGATGTATTGTCAAATTTGAAGATGAATTAGCTGACCTATTTACTACAAGTTTAAGTCACAAAAGGAGATGAATTAGCATGAGGGGAAGTTGTAGAAGCTATATTAAGCATATAAGGTTTTTACCAATAAAACGAGATTTTATTAAAATCAAGTTTAAGTATTACAATAAGGTGGGAGTTTTCTCCATCCCACAGACTGATATATAATATATAATGTTGCCTAAAACATTTGGTGCCTAGCTGTCCCTTGTTTAGCCAGACCATCAACCATCCCATTTGCTGTTCTTCTTACCCATTTAAAGACAACATTCATCTCCTTGTTATGCTTTCTATTTCCCAAAAAGTATGTCTGTAGATCCACGGGTTATGATAGTTGCATTTTGTCCAAGAAATGATCACCTGAGAGTCCCTTCTACCTCCAGTTGTGGAAACCAAATTGCTTAGCAAATTTTAAACCATGAAGTAGTCCATGCAGCTCAGCTGTCAATGCATTATTACCATCTGTCAAGGGTCCTGGAAACAAAACAAACATCTTTCCTTCTATGTCTCGGAAGACTACACTCAATCCAGCTGCAACTTGATTGCAAAATAACTTCCATCAAAGTTGAGTATAACAAAGTTGGTTGCTGGGGTGTCCAGTTCATAGTTACTCCTCCTTGACTTGAGCCGATAGTGCCACTTCCTTCCAGGTTCTCAAAATGTCATTATTGAGAAAAATTGGAAGTCCTCCAGGGTCTTCACCCTATGTGCAACTTACTTTTAATTGCGTCAATGATCTCCAGCTCTGTTCTACTCTTTTCACTGAAAATCCTCCAATTCCTTTCTTCCCAAACAGTCCATAACATGGCTGCTCTCACTGCTTTCCACATAATTCTTCCCCTTTTCTTTGGCGGTCTCAGGAAATTTGGATCAAAGAGACCCACCACATCCTCTGGAGGAGTTCACCCTCTCTCATTCATTCTTTTTTCAGTCTCTCTCATTCATTCTTTTAAGTAAATCAACAAGGGGGGAAAGACACATTTCTCTCCACCAAGTGCACACTCATTTCTACTCTCTCTTCTCTTCTTCTCTCTACACCTAAAACCCATATCCATAAACATTTGCAAGGCTTTATAATGTGTGGGAGGGATCTACAGGAATTAATCAGGTCATGTGGTAGCATAATTTTCAGGACCGATTTGTATTGAGATTCATTGAAAGCAGAAATAATGGCATTAAGGGAGTTTACAGAGCAAAGAAGCTCAACGTGAATAAACTGATTATTGAAGGAGACCTGTAATTGGTGATTAAGTGGCTCAAGAATTAAGAGAATGTCTTTTGGGTGTACAAAAATGAATGAAAAGGCTAAAATGGTTAACAAGGGACATGGATGAAAATTTTCAGTCAGTGCAAAGGATGGCCAACAGCATGGCTGATTCCTTGGCAAAACAAAGGGTGGGGTGGGCAGAGATCAAATGTTATAGGCTCAGCTGTAAATTTTGTGGTGCTTGGAGAAATGCTATTTTATCTCCAATGCTAATTGTACAGATACTCTAGATTTAATCTTAATGAGTTACAGTTAGTGATCAAAAAAGAATTTACCAACCTAGTGAATTTCTATCTTCAATAATAACTTTCTCACGATATAGAAAAAAGTAGGTTGTCAGTATTATGAATCCTTGATCATTGGTCAACAAATGTATCCACATAGATAGAATACAAAGAAATGAAGAAACAAAAAAAAGGTAAAGTCAAGTTTAAGATCATCTATATATGAGGTTCATTGGTGATGGATCCAAATGCATATTTTAAATTAAAATAATTTTACTTACCTTCACAAATCCCGTGCGACGATCAAGATTTAGATGCAAGTTCCTAATCTCCCCAAATTCACCAAAGGCATTCTGGAGATCATCCTCTTGTGCCTCCTCGTGTACCCCGGTAACCAAAATAATCCATCCCTCAATAGCTGAATATATTTAATGAAAAATTAAGTATTCTAAAGATTACAATTAGAAAAAGGGATAAAAAAGAAAATAAAGATACTAAAAAGACTCAATGAGATGAACCATATAATAGACATTTGGACACAATTTTATCCATGGATCATCTGGCATAGTAATACAAAACAATAAGCTAAACAATGACAAAAATTAGTGCATGAAAAGCTTTTTCTTTTTTGTATAAGGTGCATAAAAGGACTTTAGACAAAAACTCTTTTATGCTGAAGAAAAGTAAGATTCCAGAATGGCAAATTAAACAGAAATATTGTATTTCATGGACAAATGAGTAGGCCTAAGACAAATAAACAATAAAAAGAACTCAAGATTAGTAGCATCTAAATATTAAAATTATAAATTTGATCTATGACATGGAAGGCAGAAGCTACTGTAGAAAACAAATCTGCCAGAACAGCTACCATTTAATCAGTGGACAAATATTTTATAGCTAGTGCAGAATATAGAGTTAAAATCTTCCCCAACTTAAATTTTCATATTTTTAGGCTAGATTGCAAAAACTGGACCAAAGCCAACCCACCCAGGCCCAACCTAACTGCCACTGCGTTGCATCCCTAATAATTTGTTTATAAGTAACATCCAATTTCATTTGAAAAATAAGTGTATATTCAAAAAACTGGACAGAAATATAAGCAACAAATCCCTGGAAAGGTATCTGTTCCATTAATACTTCTTTCTTTCCTTTTATAAGGTATAAAGTGGGAAATGGTTCTAAAATTAAATTCTGGAAAGATCTTTGGTGGGGGGATTCCACCCTGGCTGCCTCTTTCCCTAGGCTTTTTAATCTATCCCTCAACCAAGAAGCCACTATTTCTTCCTGCCTTCCAAACCAAATGCCAAGAAATCTTTAAACCTACACCTCAGAAGACCCCTTAGGAACTCAGAGATTCCTGATCTAATAGCCCTAATTCAGACCCTCAAAGAAGCATACACCTCCCCCTCTTATTCTGACACCCGAATCTGGACCTTACACCCAAATGATGAATTCTCTTCTAAGTCTATGTTCAGGGCTTTGATTGCTAAGAAAATTTGGTGTAGCCACATTCCTACAAGAATTTGCTTCTTTGTTTGGGAAGCTTGTCTCCAAAAAATTAATACCTGTGATCTCCTTCAGAAAAAAACTCTTGGGTAGATGCTTCATTTCTCCCCATGTTTGTATTCTATGCCTCAGCAAGAGTGAATCAGCAGATCACATCTTTCTTCACTGCAGGTTTACCCAAAGGATATATGGTCACACTTCTTGAAAATGGCAGGTTATAGCTGGGCCTTCCCAAAACATATTATGGACATTTTGCACCAATTGCAAGGAACAGATTTAAGTAAAAGGGGTAAAGTCTTTTGGCAATCAGTGTTACATGCAGTGTTATGAGGCGTTTGGGATGAAAGAAACAATCACCTCTTTGACAATAAAAGCAGAACCCTGGAGGAATTAATCTCAGACATTACTTACCTTTGCAATCTATGGACGGTGCATTCAGATCTGTTCAAAGGATTTTCAGTCAATGATAAGAACAGAGATGCTTACCCTTTTCTGTTTTTCCCTCATCCCCAGAAAACGGTTTTCAGACACCACATTCTCTCCTTTGAAGGGGTGATTACCCTTAACTTTGACGGTTGTGCCTTAGGCAACCCTGGGTTTGCTGGTATTGGAGGCATAGTAAGGGATGAAAGGGGAAATATATGCTGGACGTTTAGTGGCCCAATTGGCTTGGCTGACTCCACAAAGGATGAAGTGATGGCTGTTCTCACCGGAATCAGGATAATAAAAAATTTGGGAATTCAGAATTTGACTATTGCAGGAGATTCAGAAAATACGATAAAATGGTTGAGAGACAAAGAGAGGGGTCCTTGGAGACTGAATCACTATCTGACAGAGGCTTGGGATTCTTTGAATTGTTTGAATGTTAACATAGTTTGGATTCCTAGGGAACAGAATCATACTGCAGATGGCCTAGCTAAATTTGGTGTGTATTTGGAGCAATTGTATAGCGACAAGCTTCCCCCATTGTAACTAGTAGGGGTTCTTCCCCCACTCTGTATATCTCCCCTTGTTCCCTCTCTTCTTCTTAATGAAATCTGGTTAAATTTTCTAAAAAAAATAATAATAATACCCTATACTACCAAGGAGTGTTATCTCACATTCTCATCCAGCTTTAAAGAACTTGGCAATCCTTTTCCACCCTCAAATCTGATCGTTCCTGCATCGGTGCCAATTTTAGATCTTGCCTAAGAGCAAGGATTTTTGCCTTTAGAGAGTTGTTATTCCCAACAGATCCCAAATAGTTGAGAAGGATATCACAACAGATATTTCTTATTACTCCTCCAATTACTGAAGCTGCATCCCTAATAAAAATGCTTATTCAACTTTTCAAAAATGAGAGTAGAGAAAGACAGTAGGGAACAAATTGCCACACAAACTATGGGATGGACGGGAAGAGTAATACTTGGGGATTTAGGGAACTTGAGCAATATTGTTGAACTCTTGCATTTTATAAATACAATTAACTATTCAAATCATGAATAGTAATGTTTCAATTCAAACATTACAACTGAATCCTTCTCCAGAAAATCTTATGATTATTGTTTGAACTTTATGGTTTGTCAATTCAACTTGTGAATTCTACAGAAATGTTTTAAATTACGGAGGCATGATGTAACTCATGTAAGGCATTCCACTACTGAAGATGTAAGGCATAGTTTAGAACGTAAGAGGCACAAGCCTCTTTTAGAAGAGGAGGGGGAGGAGGAAAGAGGGTTTAAAAAGATGCCCACCCCCCACCTCAACACACACACGCAAAAAAAAAGAAAAAATAAATAAAAAGAATTGGGGGAGGGGCAAAGCCCCCCCTCAAACTTTCTTTTCCCTTCCATTCCCTTTTCTTTTCTTTCTTTTCTTTCCCTTTTCCTTTCCTTTCCCTTCTTTTCTTTTTTTATATCCTTTTGTCTGAGGCACATGAGGCATACACCTCAGGGCGTTTTGGGGGTGCCTCACTTAGAGGTGCGCCTCCAAGCATATGCCTCCTACACCTTTTAAAACACTATTCTATAATTTATCCAATTCATAGAACTTGAATTGATGTTATGATGACCTAGCTTTGTATTTTTTTTTTCATTTCTTTATTTTTATTTTTGTTAATGAAGTTAAACTTTAGAATAAGACATTTAGGCCATTTAAAACTAATTTAAAGACTTGTTCATTTTTCATCGTATGTAGGTTAAAGAGCCCTTATCTGAGGATTAATTAACTTGCATAGTTGTTAAGGCAAGACCAAAACAATAAGGTATTCTATTTGGAATCACCATGCGCTTCACCTTGGTCTTTTTAATGAGATTTATACCAACTTTTAGTATAGCACAACTTACACCTTATCATTTGTACAAAATGATGGTGAAAAAAGCAAAAGGACATCATAGAAGACTAATTTTCAATTTAAAAAGCTATAAAATTGGTTTAAAGCATATAAATTGTTCAAGGAGACAATGGAGCACCAACTTGCAGTAGAACTTTACAAAACAAAAAGCTGAATTCTAGGTTAGTTCCTTAGCTTTATATACCAATCAACATGCGTATAAATAGAAAAAAAATAGCAATGTTTTTACTAATAACAATGATTTCTCTCGAACCATGATAAATAAGGGAATGCAGATTTAGATAAGTTGGTCATCTGCAAAGAAGACAACCGACAAAACCTGTGAGAAGAAGTGGTATATTACAACATAAAAGGCCTAGAAGAGTTAGGATCATCACAAAAAAGGAATGAGTTGAAGTCATGGTTTCAAATGTCGCGAAATGTCGCTAATGTCGCCCGACATATGTCGATGTTGAGGCTCATTGACATGAAAATGGATAGTAATATAAAAATTACATTATTTCGGAAATGTCGACCAAATCGATCCAAATAACGAAAAAAAAGACAGTTTTTTCCTATTATGTCGACAAGATGTCGACTAATGTACATTAATAATATAATATATTAGTATATTATATTATTATAATACAATATATTAATATAATTTATTCCATTAATAATTTCTATTTAATATTTCAAATAAAATATTTATAAAAAAGAATTAACAAAATAAAAAAACAAAAGAATAAATTAATTACTTTATAATATAAAACATAAAATATTTTTCAAGTAATAAAATATTAACTAGTTAGTATTTTCTAAAATATTTATTAAAATTAGAAAATGTTTATTAAATTTTATAATAAATCATATTCTACATTTAATATAAAAAATCAGAATAAATTTATTAAATTTTATACTAAATCATAATTTATTATAAGTTTAGTATTAAAAATCATAATAAATTCATTATGTTTTATAAGAAATCAGAATTTATCATAATCTTAATACTACAAAAAGGAGAATCAGTTTATTAAATTTATAATAAAACATATTGTATTATAACTTTAATATTTAAAAAATCAGAATCAATGTATTTCTATTTACTAGTGTGAAATAAATATATTAGAATTTATAATAAATCAGAATTAAATATAAGAAAAGAAAATATCAGATAACCTTGTAAAAACATCAAAATGCATAATAAATCAGTAAATCGTCATTTACTAATTTGTTACTGATCTTAGTTTCTTAGCTTTATATAATGGTTGGGAATAAGATAATAGTCTAGAAATATGTATTAATGCTTCTTTTATCATTTTACAAAATATCATTGCATATTTCCACATACTTCATAATATTTCCACAATGTCTCTAATTTTTACAATATTTCCACTCGACATTTCCGACATATGTCCTATATTTTGGCAAGTGACATTTCCATCAACATCAACATTTTAAAACTTGGTTGAAGTAGTGAAAAATGAATTAAGGGCTCATAACTTTATAATGGATATGGCATTGAACAGAGCAAAATGTCGGAACAAGATTCATGCGGCCAGGCTTAGTTGAGTTGACTTGAGAAAAACAAACCACCTGCTTTCACATTGCTCCTATGCATCGAAATGAAGTGAGAGACCTATTCAAACTTGATTTCTTTAGTGGTGGCAATCAAAGGCAAAACAATTGTAGGGCAATGTGTGCAGGGAGTTGTTCTTTAAGGTTATGGAGTGAAAGAAACTCAAGAATACTTGAAGAAAAATTTAAAGAAGAAGATTATTTTTGAGATCACAAAGAATAGGGTGGATCATTGGTCCGTTAAACATAGGTGATGTTTAGGAAACCTAGGGCATTCTAGAGTAAGGAGTCTGGTTAGGGATGTAAATGGCATCATAATTCTCAACTACTCGGGGCCAATTGATCAAGACAATTCCTTAAGATCTGTAGTTATTAGCCCTAATTCAAGGCCTAAAGCTGTTGAAACTGCAGGGATTGACAAATGTGGAAGTGGAAAGATATTGTCAAACCATTATTTGTTGGATAAAATCACAACACCAAAGTCCTCAGAAGTTTAGACATCTAGTGAGATTGGCTCAAGCCCTAGGTGGCTCCTTGAATGCCTTGTTCTATTGGGTGCCTAGAAGTGCTAATGTCTTGGCAGACTCTTTGGCAATAGCTAGGGTGAGGAAAGATGTTTTAGAATTGGGTTGCACAGGGCTGGGCGGTAATCTGTAAGGGCTGAAGTTTGCATTCAGTTTTCTCTTTTTATTGTGATGTATGAGGCCCCTTTGGGGTGATCACTTTTTCTCTCATTAATGAAATTTACTGTTATTTATCAAAAGAAAAAGACAAATCATCATATCTAAAAGATAAAAGCAATTAAATATATTAGTTTCATTATTTCAAAAATAACACTATATTAAATAAATATTTAATAAAGCAATTTCATGTCAAATGAGCAACTAAAGAATTGTTATAATTTGATGCTAATAAAATTTAAGAGAACAACAAAAAGAGAAAGAACAGCCCTTTTATTTTGTTTGTTCTGAGAGTATCTTTTAGTAAAGAAATAAAGAGAGTAGTTGTAAGAGGGGGGACCTCTTTTATCCTTCTTCTATGCTTTCTTTTTCTCTTCTCTAAACCTTCTAGGCAGGAGCCTAGACAAAGCCTTGACAACAATGCAGATTTGCGCATGAGAAGTTTAATTGGAGGGAAATCAAAAGAATCATGAGGGGATTCAGAGAATTTGCATCTAGTCAAAACTGTACAGATCTATTACTTCAAAAGACCAGGTTGACTTGATTTAATTTGCACACGAAGGAGGACTTCCTGTCCCTCTGGAACCTGGATTGAGAAGAACAATTCCTGAAACTTGTTAAACTTTAATTCTAAGATTTATCAGCCGGAAGCAGAAGGATAGGCTAGAGGAGCGGAATAATGCTTTTATTAAACACAAACGATAAGAGTAACAAGCATCCCAAGGAGAGGGACAAAATGTGACTTCTCCAGAAAAACTAATTACAGCTTTTCAAACTCAACTAGAACAAGTTACAAAGTAGCCCAAAAGAGACAGTCCCGAGAAACCCCTTGTTTTGCTAATGAATCAGCCACAGCATTTGCCAATCTGCTCACCCATTGAACACTAATTATCATATTATTAGTTAGTCATTTCACTTTTTTGAGGAGATCTCTATAGCCCCATATGACAGAATTTGGGTTCAAAAGCCACCCCCTACCACCTTAGAGTCACCTCCAATCAGTAAATGCTCCACCCCAAGCTGGTTCACAATCTGGATCCCTTGTACAACAGCTAATATCTCTGCCCTTGTAGGGTCACCCAGTTATTTAAAAGGCGCACGCCTAGGCGCACAGGAAAGGAGCATTTTGGGGTAAGCGCCTCACCCAGGTTCTAGGTGCACCCCTTTCAAAAGGCGCATGTCTAGTCTTGGTGCGCCTTGCGCCTCAGCCCAGGCATGCGCCTTCTTAAAATTTTGCACTTTTTGCCTTTTTTTGAGTCTAACGGCTGGGCTGGGGCCTCCGCCCCCGGACCCCCGACCACACCCCTCAAGGCAAGCCCGAACAAGTCTATGTTAGGGTTTGACATTCTTATACATGGAAAATAATAATTTTATAACTTTAATTGCCTTTTAAGAAGATATTTTATTGGAATGAATGAATGAACAACATTAGCAAATAGGGGGTTCTCAGAGCACCAATCAGTTAAGAAGATTAAATGGCTAACAAGGAATATGCCGGTCTCCTTGTTAGCCATTTAATCTTCTTAACTTTGTTCTTATAGCACCAAAAAGTCTCCTCATATTTCATTAACCAGCCCACCACCACCTTTGAGTCCCCCTCAATAATTAGTTGTTGTACCCGCATTTGGTTTGCAAACTGCACCCCTTGTACAGCAGCTAGCATTTCTGCCCTAACAGAGTCACCAAGACCCAAAGGACCTGAGTACAACAAAACAACCTCTCCAAACTCATTCCTCAGAATCCCCCACTCCAGATGGCCCTGGATTGCCCAAATTGTTACCATCGAAGTTCAGATTCAAGGAGCCTTCAGCCAGAGGACACCACCTTGGGGCTACCCTGCTCTTGATGGAAGAGCACCTCGCTATTGCTAACCAGTTTCTCCAAAAGTCATTAAAGAAGAACTGATGGAACAGGTCCAAATTCGTCAACCATTGTATTGCCCTAGACAACACACAGTCCTTCGATTTCTGGTTATTTCTTTCCTTCTCTTGAAAGATTCTATCATTCCTTTCTTCCCATAGCATCCAAATCAAGGCTGCTCTCGCACATCTCCACATTGATCTTCCTCTTTTTGTAGGCCAGCTGAAGGTAGACTGATCAAAGATCAACCATACTTCTGCTGGCAAGCTTCAATTACACCCAAACAAAGAGAGTAGCCAAACCCACAATTCTGTAGAGAGTGTGGACAGGAAATGAATAGATGGTAACAGTCCTCCCCGTGAGCTCTACAGAGGATACACCAGTTGGGATAAATACAAAGGAAAGGTCTTCTCTTTTGTAGGTTACCTAAAGTGTTTAATTTTCTGTAGTACAGAAGAAAGCCATAACCTTTGGGGAAATCGGCCTGAACCAAATTTCCTTTGAGGGAAAGGCCTGTTGGGTGTAAGACTGAAACAAGGACTTAAGGAATGAGGTACAAGTAGACATCCCTTTGGGGGTAGGAACCCACACCCTTTTGTCTGGCTTGAAAGGATCTAGACAAATCTGATTAAAGAGGCCAAGCAAATGAGATAAAGAATCAATTTCAGCATCCCTTGGAGAGGGATCCAAATTAGGACTAAGGGATTTGAAGAAAGAAGCACAAGCAAAGGTGCCTTTTGGGACAGGGATCCAAATTCTTCCATCAGATTTAGTAGGGTCCAAACAAAGTGACTCAAGCAAAAGTAATAACTCTGAAGCACAAACAGACTCATTACCCCTTAACCCCTACAAAAACCAAAGTCCCAATTTAGGGCAACAGATATGGAAAAGATATAACTTAGAGACTTTAGAAGAGTTTAATCACCGGAAAAGATAAGGATTGAATGAAGAAAGGTAAGAAGGGCAGAAGTTAAGGAGGACTAAAGAGATGTTCATCCATAGAGAACAAATTTGTAGGAGGCATGAATCAAGAGTGAAGTGGGTAAAAGAGGGATGGCAACAGAAAATTTTATTACAGGTATGCAAATGAAAAAGGGAGAAAAAAATTACATTAGCAAGCTACTTATGAGAGGGAAAAAACAAATGACCCAAAGTTGATAGCTAAGGAAATTGTTAACTTCTACCAGAATAAGCTCTACACTTTAGAGAGAATAGAGAGACTTTCTTTAGGGAATTATCCAGGCCCAAGAATCTGTAATGCCAAGAAGAATCGTAGAGAGGTTTTAAAGTAGAAACTAGAAAATCCACAAAAGGGTTTTCTCTCTTGATAAGGAGAAAGCACAAGGTCCAGATGGCTTCTTCTTGGCATTTTACTATAAATATAAATATAAATATATACATATATATATGTAGATATGTATTCTTGGCATTTTAAGAATATATATATATAAGGGAGACAGACAACTATATAGAAGTTAATCTTGGCATTTTAAGAATATATATATATATATGTAGATATGTATTCTTGGCATTTTAAGAATATATATATATAAGGGAGACAAACAACTCTATAGAAGCTAATCAGCCCTGACAGACAAGATGAAGACCAATGGGCTCTAAGGCACTTGATTAGGAGAGCTAAATCCCTGACAGTTATTGAATTGTTTGTTCAGGTGGATTACAACTTACAAGATCAGCGACCTCCAAGGCCATCCGCTTAGAAAGAGAGCATGAACATAGGCAGTAAACTGTTAACAAGCATAGAATATTTTTGGACAGCTTTATGGTCAAAAAAATATTTTGGGACAGCCACATATAATGTCCTTTCCGTTTCCTTTCCTTCTTTTCTTTTTTATTTCCATTCATAAAGGAAGTTAAAGGATGAAGATTTGTCCCAAAAGTGGGAACCTCAGCTCCCCCAATCTAAGTACTGGCCAGTACTAATAACTATACATATCTAGCGTTGGAAAGTCTCCATAAGAGCAAAGGCGAGGCGTTGTTTATCCCATAACAGTATGCATCTCAAACAAGGATATTATTGCATTTCGTTTAAGGGGTCGCTTTTACTAACTGAAAACATCTAAAGAATACCCTAAAACCCTAAACATGCAGTGAAGGAGAACTAAAAGGAGAAAGAAGAGGAACGGAAACAACATAACAGTTAAGAAACCCTAAAATACGAAAGCAAGCAGTAACAGCGAGAAAGAAATAGATGTAGGTAGAAGAACTGACATCGTTGGGGACCGGGGCCGCCATCCGAGTCCAAGGATTCGAAATTATTGGCGGCGAAGCGACTATTGCGTTCCGCGTCGGTTTCTTCTCGAAAACCTCTACCTTTGGTCTTCTTTGGACCAGACAACGAGGATGAACCACCAGTGATGGCAGATTTGAGCTTCGGAAGAGGAGCTCTCGGCGAAGTTTCAACGTCCACAGCTCCGTCTTCGTCCATGAGGTCGTCCTCTTCGGGCTCGAAGTCCACGGCTTCGACATCTGCGTTCGCCATTCTCTCCTACTTGCACTGTAGTTCTGCTCTTCTTTCCCTCAGAACGAAGAGGAAAGGTTTTAGAGCTGGAAAAAGGGTTTTATTATATCGAAATAGCACGTGCTCTGCACGTGATCGCTCACCAACGACCATTGCCTAATCTAAAAACTATTCCAATCCAACGGTTATCATAAGTGGCCAAATCCTCTCTGGATTCTGGGACTCTCTTGGGCTGTGTTTGCGGGGCATCTAATAGGAATCCAAAAGCACCAAAATAACCGCATGGTAAAACAGCTGCAAACCGACTTTTTTAATCAAAAAGTCCATTCAGAAAAAAGCCAAAACATAATGGCTTTGGCTTCTAACTTTTTTAAGTTTATGAGAAGCACATTTTAAAAAAAAGCCCATCACCACCAATGCTAAAAAGTAATTCTCTTGTAAGCACTTATTCAAAAAGTGCTTATTAAAAAGCCCATTTAGAGAAGAAAAGCCCCCTAAACGCGACATTAGTTTTCTATTAAAATCTTTGCAAAAAGTGTTCTATAATAGGAACTCCTGCCCATTAGGCCCTATTTCTATTCAATTTTGTGCTTCTAAAAATTGATTAAGGCTCAGTTTGGAAATAGTACATATACAAATATATACAGTATAAATACATATAAAATAATACAAAATACAAGGTTTTGCATTCTACGTATTTGTATTTGTATTTGTATTCATTCCAAACTGAGCTAACCATCAAGATATATTTCTGATTTTCTCTTTTTTTTTTATTTCTCTATGTATTTAATTATTATCCATTTGAATTTTCCAATTTCATGATTCTAAGTTTCAATTGAAAACAACACAAAGGAAGTGTGTTCATTACCCACCAAGAGATGGTGGGCCAGTCTCGAATCAATTATTAATCATGATAATCAAATCAGATTATACTTGACACCTATTATTAATCATGATAAAATAATAAACTGTTTATATTTTGATAATTTTATCCAAAATTATCTTATGTACGATTTATGAAATTTACACTTTTAAACATGAAATATAACAAAAAGTACAAAAAAGTGAGACCTCTATATATTGGTCCACATCATAATTGGTTCAGAGCATCAAGAGCAGGTCCCAATCCAATTATTATTTAGGACATAAACCACAAAAACTAAAACCAACATAACCCGTTTGGTTGATTTGGCTCTATCCAATAAACACAACCCATTGACAACTCTAATAGAAATGAGCATCCTATCCTATTAGAGAATAAAAACCTTTTTCAGGGGTCTCACCTAATATCTTAAGTTTTTAGGTTGAATAGTTCCTTTGGATGATATTAGAGCTTATTTGACCAAGTGCTCTATGTCCACTATTATATATTCATGGAATACATCAATTGTAAACCCCTTCTTCAATACCTGAATCTGAAAGCCCCAATTGGAGATCGGATTAGCCAAATGCATTGTCCGTATAGTGGAATGTGGAACCAATGATAACACTCCCACCAACCATAAAATACATGGGATCAACAGTATCTTTGGTCCCAAATTGCTCAAAGAACAACCATCAAGTTGAAAACAACTTTTCACTTAATATCATTGGTCCCAAATAGACCAAACGATTGCAACTCTCAAACAGCTTCACATGATTTTCCCCTGGTCATCTGAGTTGAAAATAGTGACTCCATATTTACCATCGATGGCTACTTTTCACTTAATATCCAATGCAATTTACTCAAATCGCCTCTTAGTTGAGTGCTCCAGCTAAATTGTAAATGAAAAAAGCTTCATATGCCAAAGTCATGACATTTAGAAAATTATTCAAATGGAAAAGGATCTCTCCAAGAAAAGACTGAATTACAAACCAAATAACATGTTTTGATCAGTGTTTTCAACCCATTATTGATCCAGCCAGTCAGAGCAGTGAAGTGAACCTGTCACAATACTAGGTGCCTCAATCTCTAACCCACTTTTTTGACAAAAAAAAAAAAAAAAAACATTTACTTGGTCAATCACCACAACCCATGTGGTTGACCTGTTCAATTCAATGGGTTATTGGATTCTTTTAATTTTTGTTTGAAATTTTATGTTGGTGACATCATGGGTTGACTGAGATGGTTGAACTGCTGACCCATTGACCTAGAAGGGGAAATGGTTCAAGTTCCAAGATGGGTTTTTAAAGACTGGTTTTGATCCCACACTGCCTAGGAAAAATTGACTTCTTCGTCAAAATATTTTCTACTTCTTTCAAATTAAGTTGTGCCATGCTAGTAGGTACCTGGAACTTGCATGGTTGGTATGGTAGATCAAAAGAGTAAACTTGTTCACAAACCAAATTACATGATAATGAGAAGTAAATGTTCACCCACAAACATAGTGCCTTCTTTTTGTCAAATTTTGTTATGTGGACTAGCAAATAGCTATAAACTTTTAATGAAATTCTTGCATACATGCAAATTTTGAATCATAGTAAAATACAACCACTTTTTCCAGGAAGCATGATTTAGAATTAGATTAATCCTTTTTAGAGGTAATGTTACTAATGTTAAATGAACTTTGAAAAGCACAATTTCATTTCTGAGTACTTAGTTGAGTCTACCCAACTTGATCTGAACTTGTTGAATTCTCAATTCCTAAAATTCATTAAGACTACATGAAAGAGAAATTAAGAAATAACAATTCCATTCCTGTAAAAGCAAATTAGAAAAATCAACATCAATAATCGCAGGTGATCACAAAGTTGTAATTTGAACCTTTGGGTTTAGTTCACGAGTTGTTGCCTTGTCTCTTCTATGCCAGTAATAACTGCTAATATCCTTTCCTAGAAAATGAAGTATTGAACTGTAAATATACACCATACAGTATAGTGTACCTGTAATCAATAGATTTTTGGAATTTTAATAGAGAAAAAAGTCAATACAATAACCTACTAAGATGTCTTGAGTATAAATTTTCATTCTTAACACAATCAAAAATCTCTGTAACACATTTAGAAACTTGTTCTCATGAGAAATGTCAAACAAGTCTAGTGCAGCTCTCTACTTCTAAAGCAAGATAAATATGCTAGTTTTAACTAATCAATATCCTTCTAGATGTTTTGAAGGATAGAGCTACCAAGTAAAATTGCAATTTCCATTATTAGAAATTGGATATCTTACTTGATTGTGTAGTATTGAACCACTGGAACCATGCTTCAAGGCGAACAAAAGCCCTTTCTAGGAATGAAGATATCTCTATGCTTTTAGTGGTAGTAAATCTATGTTGTTTTATGAGATGAACTAGATCTGAAGGAGATTTTCTTCCTGGGATATCCAATCTTTAAAATATCCATGAGCTTAGGAATTGTCTATAAATGCAGAAACCTCCAAAAGCCATTCTTCATAATAGGATCAATAGCACTAAGAATCATCTTAACTCATATCCCAGTGCCCCTGCAAGCACTTTTAGTTACCACCTCTCCCACCGAAGTCTGATATATGTTTATTTTAAACTGGAATGGATGTTCATCAGTGGCTAATGAAAAGAGGCAGTCAATGGGACGAAGCCTTACCCCAACTATTTAGGATCAATTTATAGATAATGATGGTATCATCTGCAAACTACAAGTGAGAAGAAAACAAGCAAGGTGATGATCTTATCAAGGTTGGGGAGGTGAGAGAGATTCCTTGTAGAAGGAAACTTTTTCCTTCTTAAAACTTGTATTTGTGGTGGTACTGATTGTTGTTTTCCTCACTTGAGATCCTTATTCCTTTTGTACATTCTACACATTCACCCTGTCTTCAATAAAATTTCTTGTGGATCAACTTCAGCTTCTAACTCTTTGGTTTAATTAGATCTTTCAGGTTTATTTTGCTTCTGATTGTGTTTATTTTTGGGTGGTCAGGCCTTTTGAGTGAGAGATTTATGTTCTCATTAGGATTTAGTCTTGATCAAGTTTAGTAAATAACTGAATATCAGAGCTCCTAACCCTAGTTTTCTAAGTTCATTGTATGAAGGCCTATTCCAAAACTGTCTTCCTAATGATATGCAAATTCATCATGCATACATACTGAATATCATGTACTACATATAAGGGGAATCAACAGGTTATTAAACTCTAATGAGAAACCATCCAAGATCCATTGGAGGCCCAACCCCAAAGGCCAATAGTTTTGGTTTATATCACAATATCACATACATTCCTATGTCTATGGTTATCATTTAGCATAAGGGGATGCATGTGATGAGATTCATTGAGATAGGTTTTTGACTTCTTTACTGGTCTTCTGAGTAGTAGAGAGATTATCCTGATGCAAAGCAATATAAGAACTTAATTGAGATAGGTTTCTGACTTCTTTACTGGTCTTAGCCTAGAGTTTGATTTACTTATTTAAAATGTGATACATCGTTAAATCAGCCATGGGACAGTTCATTGAGATTGAGCAGACAGCCTTAGTGATTGCTAAATAGAGGTAGGATAGTGGTGGTAAGACAACTTCTACTTAGGAGGGAGAAGTAGTGTGTGATTTGTAGCACATTTGTCAAGTTGTCAAGGTGTTGCTTTGCTGCTTTACTTCAATGTCTTGATTTGTAGCAACAAATGTCCATATATACTTGGGCATTTGATGAAGAGCAGGGATGAAGTGCCTTTAGGTTACTAAATATTTCAACATGGTGGAGTTGCAGTATGGGAAAAAAAATAATAAAAGTTTTGAGCTCAAAAAATGCTAAAGAGTACATGGAGAAAGGTCCACAGATGTTTCTAAGAAAGAGGAGTGATTTCTTAATGCTCATGTGCCTACACTCTTTGACAGTTCCAATCGAAGTAGGTACTGTCTTGGTTCTTGAACTCAAATTCTAACTCATGAATTGTTATAGATGTTGTTGTTTTCATCTTAATATCAAGATGGAGCTTGATGGGTTGCCATGTTTTAATTTTACAGGTCTGAACCGGTGTGGCAAGAGTTTTAAATTTTGACATTTTACATTTTATAAGGGTCAACGGTTGAAACAATTACCTGTTTGATATGTTTTACAAATATTAAAAAAAAAAGAGGGAACACCTCTCTTTGACGGTGCTCAGTAAGGTGTTTCAACC